AATATGTAATGTTACTATTTTTTACAGGTTAAACTTGCTATAGTGAAAATTTAATTACTGCCAGATTTTCGCTTTGAAGCACTCATAAAAAAAAATAGAATAACTAAAAATTTGTTTTAAGTTAAATAAAAAAATAAAAAAATAAAAAAAAGAAAATTAAAAATTTGTTTAGTCATTCTATTTCAGGAATTCAAATATTGAACCCCCGAAGCCAAAAAAAATATATAATGATGTATTTATGTTAATTTCAGAAAATACAACATATATACTCATTTAATATGACTTTATTAAAAGCAGTTATTTAAAGTTCTATTTGAGGCTTCTTTTGTTTTATCTTTTTCTTAAAAAACCTGTTTTTGTAAATTTTGATATGGGAGGCAGAGGCAGTAACAAAAGGCATAAAGGCAAAGCTGGTTCGATCGAAACAGATAGGGCAGAAGAATCAGTTTTGAGTCAAACGAAATTTTTTTTTGGGATGGTTTTGCGTAGCAGTAATAACAATAAAACTTTTTTTGTTTGTTTCTTTTTTTTAAAACAAATTAAAATTTTCTTTTGATTTTTCTTTTTTTTTTTAGAGTCAAACAAAAAGACAACAAATGCTGAAGAGGTTGAGTCAACCAAAATATCATCTGTGGCCCGATTTAAATCAGCAAAAGTTTCATCCGTGGTCCAAGGGCCTAAATCGACCAAAGGTAAAGACAAGTACTATTTATTTTTTTGTTGTTAAAAAGTTTTTTTTTATTACTGTTCTTTATAGTTGTCTAAGTTACAGGTGATAAACAACAAAGTCAGCAAGATGAAGAGGCTATATCGCCTAGAAAAAAACTAAAAGCTTTACGCTATGCTGATGAAGAACAATCTGATGATCCCTTGTCATCTGTGAATAAACAATCTTTCGCTGATGCTCCGCAACAGGATGATAAAATATTATATACATCTTATATATCCCAAGAGTCCCTTCATTCAGAATCTCACAGTGCTTTCTCTACGAACCTGGATGAAGAAGGATTTACTGAAAATTTTTCTGTAGAAAGCTCAAATTCTGCAGAAAAAAATTTAACAACCAAAGATTTTAATTACAGTATAACGATTTTAGATCAAAAATTAGCTCCTTGTATCATTTATGTCGTCATATAGCAAATAAGCACTAAGATATATCAAAAGATATTAGAAAGCTTGTTGTACTTGATGAGCTTTCTAATAGTTTCTGGAATATAGCATATAA